TATATATATATATATATGAGCCACGTTAAGGAATTAGCAGGTCAAAGGCAAAGGCAAAATTAGCTAGTCATTCTTATAAAAAGCAGTTAATTGGCAGGACATGGTATTCACAATATATACTGTACAGTATGTATCATTTTTTTTCTCAAGATACACAACACATAAAATTAAAATAACATAGACAATAAACTCATTTAGTTATATTAAAATGGAAGGAAATGGCACCTTAAGAACAAGGCTAGGTAACCAATAACAATAATTAATAAATAAATCAGAGAGAGGGAGAGAAACAAATATTGCAGATATAGAAGAAACTTTTTAGGAAACTCTTTAGAAAATGTTAATGCTCTTTATTTTGGTGATCATTGTCCAATAAAGGATTTCATGGTGAGGCAAACAATACTATGAAGTACTATCCTCTGCAGCGGATGAACCTGTAAACCTCTGTCGGGGTAAAAAGGTTGCCAAGCTGTTAATTTTTTAGCTGACAGCCCATTTCTTCTATTGGGACAGAGTGATGCTGCAAGTCATTGTGGCACATTTTAGCATTTACACCAGTAAAATGATTGTATGAATGTCTATGTGCCTGTCAGAAAAAAAGTTATTTTAAATTATTTGGATGATTTGTTCTAATGTCTGGCATCTAAAATTTAAGTCTAGATTTAGATTTGCTGCCATTAGAGCTCTATACTCTAAAAAACTAAAACTATAAAAACTTTACTACGAAGGCTGATGAACTATTCCTTGTGGGTTCAGGACCGTGCTCTTTAGTCATTCAGTTTTTTATCATGCTCCTGAGAACTACAATTTTCTTAAACCCAAAGGTGTATTAAATACAATAAAATTAAAACTAAAAGCATACATTTTATTGCTGAAATAAAAAATATAAAACAGAAACGTTAATAATGGCCCATTGCAAAATAAACATATAATGGCATTTCGATTTTCATTAACAAAACAAATACCACTCATTAGCAAACATTTTGCAAGTCTTTACAACTTTTAATCAGCATTCTTTTTTTAGCTGGCAATGTATTAATATTTTCATATGGGGGGTATTTATTTGCAGAAGCTGAACATGACCAGCTCATCTGAAGGTAGCACGGTGGATATCAGACCCCCTGGGGCAGTTGTGGAAGGAGAAGGAGAGTTGTTGGAGATTGAACCGGAGGAAGCTATGGAGCCAGATGCCTGCTTCACAGAAGGTGAGTGGGAGAACATTGCTCATTAAAGCCTTCTTACTTGGCAGTTGGCCTACACAGCAAGATTATATAAATGAGATGAACTTTTCAGTCTCCCTGTAAATTAAAAAAACACACATGTTGTGCGAAGTAAAAAAAAAGATATCGACTTGTAAATGTTGAAGGGAAAGACCTTTGTAAATTATTTTTTAATTAACTAATGCCATATTTTCACTTTGCCTCTTGCCAGTTTTAAAGAACACCTATGGTTTAGAAGTAAGCATATTGCTGAACAGAAAGCAGATAGGGGAGATGTATTTGGTTCTTGCAGCAATTATCGTGATTAAAGTGAAGCTACAGCTTAAAGTAGAATTAAAGTCACTTTCCTTTTTACATATATCTACTGCTAGCGAGCAGTAGATATATGCAAAAACAAAGAAAAGAAAAAGTCACCAAATAGGTAATTACTTACCTCTGTCTCCGCCGCTCGCTCCCGGCTGAAGATCTGAAGATTCTCGAGCGGCTGTGAAGGATCCAGGGGGCGGGCGCATGCGAAGTAGAGATACTCGGTCGGTAGAAGAGGAGAGACACAGTGTAAGTCAAATCACGCAGCCAGAAGCACGCATGCGGACAGACGCCGTGGGACACAGAAGACACAGCAGTCAGCGCTGGATCATAGACCGGCACCAGCATTGGATGGACTCCTGAAAACAAGTGGAAGGAAGAAGATGATCAAATCAAGAGGCATCATTTAAGGTAAAGGAGGGGGGGTGACTTTAATGTCACAATAAAAGCACAAAGGTTGTTTTAGCTGCAAACATCTTTGTAATTTGTTATATATTAAAATCACAAGTCACCTACTAAAGAAGATCTGAACTATGGAATCTGTGTCCAGAAAGGCGGGCAGCAGACAAATGACTAGTTATGAGTATTGACTATAAGTTTCCTGCAGCTGATTTTTTTTTCTGAATCTGAATGACTTTGGCCTTGTTCTGCACTGTCTTTCTGTGTGGAAGCAGCCATTTGGTAAGGCACAACTTTTGCTACTGTTAGTGTTGTACTGCTGACAAATATACAAGGATCAGCAGGCGAGGTTCATAAAGTACAGATCCACAGAAAGGATCTGTCCTCGGGTACAGCTTTCTCTCCAGCAAGCAGCACAGTACTGACTTCACCAAATCTTACCCCAAATCTTGTTAGACTAGCGGTCAAAGCTAGATCTCACACTGTAGCTATAGAGCTTTGAGGCTCAAGAACAGGAAGTGCACTGCTATTTTTCAGGAGGAATTCCAGACAAAGGTACATTTTAAGGTACTATTTAGGCACAATTAATATTTCTAGATTTCCACTTTAAGATAGCATATGTTCACGTTTTACGTTTAGATCCACTTTAATAATTCACACATCCTTATCACACTGCATGTGCAGGATGGTAACACCATTTAGTGGTATAGTTTTGCAAATTTCACTGTTAGCTGTCTGCTTGCTGGATAGAAAGTGAACACTTAGCCTAGTCCTGCTGCATGGCTTGGTTGTGCTAGTAAGTTTCTGTTGGTGCAGGTGCACCCCCGGAGACCTCCAAGTCCAGCACTCTGTACAAATAAGTACAAATAACAACACTGGGGCATTGAATTGTTGAAGGGGGGAGCTGGACTAACTTTGTTGGGAGCAAGTTTAGCTTCATGTCCAAGGAAAAGCAAAGCCCCAAGCTCAGCATTTGCTCCTTGGGTGCCTTGATAACAATTTACACACCTGAAAAGGACTTGGGAACATATTTTAAATCTTCAAGCATGTTATTTTTATAACCATTCAATATCAGCCTCAGATGCAAAAAATATACAAATAAGGTAAATTATATTAGACTAAACATCCAGTTTAGCTAACATCCAAGATGCTAAAAATCATTTTTAAATGTAATCTTTAATTCTAGGATGTGTAAAAAGATTTCCAATTTGCACTGTGAACATTGATGAAAAAAATGGCAAGCTATGGTGGACATTCAGGAAAACCTGCTATACAATTGTTGAACACAACTGGTTTGAAACCTTCATTATCTTCATGATTCTTCTGAGTAGTGGAGCGCTGGTATGTTAATCCTTTATATTTAGCATTCAATTTTTATTATTATTGTTATTATTTGGCTTACTAAAACAGGTACTACCATTTAATAAAGTAGTGCAATCTAACAACAGCATGTGACCACTAATCAGGTGGCAGGGTTCATCCACCATGACTGTTTTTGGTGTGTACACAAGTCTCCTGACATATTAGTCAGAATCCATTATATGGGATAAATAGTTCTGTATGATCACCCTACAGTGGACATATCATCCTTTCTGAATATCTGAAATTTTAAGTTCGTATTAACTTATGTTCAGAAAAGCCTTCTTAGTGCCATATTTGAGATCACTTAAGCCTTACACCTGTTACCAAGCCCAATCAACCCACCCACCGAACCCTTGTCCAGCAAGAACGCTATGCTAATTGATAAGTGTAAGCTAAATTGGACAGAGAAGTGGTGGGTAGGTAGGGGAAAATGTAAATAATGAATATTTGAACTCTTAAAGCTAAAGCAGTTCCATTTTTGGAAGATAAAGTGAAAGCAGATATACTCTTTAAAAATAAAATAAAATATGGAGAGCATAATAGTGTAGTAAATGCATAAAAAAATAAATATGTATAGTACGCACAGAAAATGTGTAATTCCCTATGAATACAGTAGATATTTATCTGAACTTGGGAAATATTTTCATAAATGTATAGGAAAAGTGTACAGAGTTCTCCAGACAAAGTTAAACAGCATGAAAAAAAGAATAATGGTAGCACAAAAGTCCCAGCGGCATTTAAGATGAATAATAATAGGGAATAATCCATATTAACTGGAATTCAAGAGGAAAGAGTGAACCACCTTCCAATTTATTGAATAGAAACAAAAGTATGCATGCACAAGTAATGCTCCAAATTTGAGCCATGGGTGGCCCTTTCAGCACCACCTGGGTTGTGAAACGTTGATTGAAAAATCAAACAGGATGGAAAATTCCAAGCTCAACAGTCACTGTTTATGTATTCAGGCAGCTGCAGGTGTCAGCAGTGGAGATGCCTCCATCCACGTTGTTAAAACGGACCTTTACACTCAAAAACTAAATTCTAACAATGCATCCCTCTATGTATGATGATTAATAATAACATAGACATGTCAGGTGTAAAATGCTGTGATTGTGAAATACTTACACTTGCAGAACATTCACTTCCTGTTTTGAAAGGGCAACATGACTTCAGTTTGCCAAATCAATGCACACAGGGATTGCCTTGTCATCAGCAGAGCATTGCTGTGAAATCTCATGAGATCTCAGGGAAAGGCATTTCCTCCCTAAGATGATGTGCATGGTCACATGTCCTAGTTACTTGTCTAGTCACCAGCTTTTAAGGAAGTAAAGGGAGAGCTAGTAATCTGCCCTTAGTAAACATGGCCAGTGTCAGAAGACTGGGGAAGAACAGAGAAATAAGGTATGCAAAGAATACAAAGCCTGCAATTATCTAGAAGTATGTGACTGTAGATTGTCATTACTAAACATGTCTAAAGGTGTGTTTGTTGTTATTTTAAAGATAATTGTAAAGGTCAGCTTTAAATGGGCTGATGAGATACAATCTATGCATGTATGACTAGCTTAAGGGAAGGCTTTTTGGAATCCAACCCCTCATCAATCCTAGTCTGTGGCAATAAGCTACTGCTACTTATAGCTACCAAGTGAGTATAATAAAAAAAATTGTAAAAAGTGTGTATGGCCAAAACCTTTCTTTGATAGATTAAGAATGGATTAAGACCCCTATCTGGTTTTATTATCAAACTAGAAAAAGTTGTACCTGTTGATTGAACTATTGCTCTCTGTGCACAAAGATATTTGGAAGTCTTACAGTTTATAGAATAGGGAAAGGTTAGGTTAGACAGTCAGGTTTTACTGCTATCTAGGTCTGTGTTAGAGAGCTTTCTACTCACTTCCTGTTCTAAGGACAACCTTTTTACCACACAGTAAGTTCAGGAAAATCTGCATCGTGTACACAGACATCAATAAAAAGCTGAAAGAGGTTCAAGCATTCCCAAATATAACAAAAAAAGCATGTTGTGCCTGTCTGCATTGCTTTTAGAAATTTCTTCTCACTTTCTTTTTACCAGACAGGAAGTGGACAAACTTTTTACCAGACAGGAAGTGAATGAATATCTCCAACAGAGCCTCTGATGGCAGTAAAACCTAACAAGCTCTAACAAGCTCTAAGTCTTTCCCACAAAAACGTTTGGGCAATTGAATTAGATAATGTCTTAAATCTTATTTACATTTTGAAGCACCTGTCAAGTATATGACCATCGTTATGGCATTAGTCACAAATACGCATGAAAGACATGCCGGAAACACTCATATCTCACTCATATCACATTACTAGTAGTTCAGGTTATAATTACGATGTGTGGATTCATTCTAACTCCTACTTCAGGCCCTAAATTCTAGTTGATATCACAATATTCAGACAGTATCTGCTCTAGAGGGATTTATTAAAACTGGTGTTTGCATGCTTATGCCAGCAATTAGTAGCCTCACATGGATTCTCATTTCCACTGGAGGTAAGCAAATATACGTGAACAGGTCAAATTTCTAAATTGTTTAGACAATGGCCAAATATTATTTATTATTATTATTATTTATCATTCAGAATGAACCTACCATGTATGTAGGGTAAAGCACAGGTTATCTTTAAAGTTGAAGTTGATTGTGCTTATTTTTTTTCCATTTCTGGTTCCATTTCCTCCCCATCACCATGCTATATTGCATGCATTGTTCTCAGTGGGATTAAGACCCATGTTTGCTAGGCAAGAGTTCCAACCGCATTAAGGCTGCACACACATGGGCAATTACCAAAAGTGTAATTAAAATAGTTTAGTGATCGTTCAATTTCATGTAGATGTTATAATACACCATTAAATGCAATTTTTACAAAGTTTTCTTTCAGAAAATATGCAAACACTGTAGGCCAAGGGCTGTGTGACCTATTTCCTGTTAATACTTTGTGAAAATTGCATTTATTGGTGTATAATCTGTAATTATGCTGACACTGTCCTTCCTTCTGGAGGGGGCTACTTTTGTTCCCCATGGTCCCTGTGTGTGTTGCAAAGTATTCATCACAGCTGAGTGATACACAAATAAGATACATTTTTGTTAATAGTTAAGGTACTTGAATGCATTTTAAAGTTTTAACTCCTGAGTTTAGTGTCTTGAAAATGAAAGGTAGAAGCTGATTATTTACTATGGGCAACTGTTCCAGATTCTGTCTGCTCCACTTTTGATAAATTCCCCTCAATATGTTTGCTGTGGGGCATAAAGATAAATGGTTCAATATTTGAGTTGGTGATTGGTTAACAAACCTGAATAATTTATACGTTCAAACTTCCATCTCACAGGCTTTCGAAGATATCTACATAGAACAAAGGAAAACCATCAAAACCATGCTGGAATATGCTGATAAAGTCTTCACGTACATCTTTATCCTTGAAATGCTTCTGAAATGGGTGGCGTATGGATTTGTAAAATATTTCACCAACGCCTGGTGCTGGCTGGACTTCCTGATTGTTGATGTAGGTATTTTATACCTTTTTATGCATTCATGTAAAGACAATAACATAGTATTAGAATACCTTGCGTCTGTGCAAGAACAAAATATGCATTCATGTATTAACGAATATGCACAGGTGTAAATACAGCCTAAGTCATCACATTCACATTGAATATGTTTGCTCAAATACTTTAAAAAGTTGATCATCAAGAATCCCATATGGTAAATGGGCCTTGCTTTTTTAGGTTCACTTTAAGCAAATATTTATTAGGTTTCAGCAGGCTTTTAACAAGCTCTGGGAGACTGTTGGGCTGACCACTCCAGATGCTAATTAAATGCTTATTAAATGATTGTTGGAGCCTACTAAATGATTGCTGAATGTGATGCTCTTCAGATTCACATTTAGAAGCTAAGATTAAAGAATGTCCATATTTAGTAAGGCAAACAATATCTTAGTTATGGATGGAAGCTAACGAGCAGAATCATCCACTTGCTTCTTATGTTGAATCTTGGTTGAATCTCTTAAGCCATGTATACACGGTACAAATTTCAGACAGTTTCTGGTGAACCCCTCTCGGCTGAATGGAGTTTGCAGCCAATAAGCTGCAGGCTCCATTTGGGTATTCTCTCACGGGTAGGGCTCTCCTTACCATCTTGTCTTGAATTGTATTGTGATTGTACTGTCTTCCTTAAATTGTAAAGCGCTGAGCAAACTGTTGTCGCTATATAAATCCTGTATAATAATAATAATATTCTGATAGTGGTCAGCGGCCTCTGTCAGAATACTATAGAATAGACATGTGCAATTAGTTTCGGAAAAAAATGTTTTCAGACAAATTTTCGTTATTTGGAGATTCGAATGTATCCGAATTTCCAAATAACAGAAATGATGAATGAAAACGAGTCCGAATTTCCCAAAAGGAACAAAATTTGTTAGCGGTAGTCTGTACGAATTTTCGTTTTTGGACAAATTTTCGTTGCAGCAAAGTGACATTTTAAAAAAAACAATTTTTTAATGCCACTGTGCTGAAACTAACGGAACGAAAACAGAAATGAAAATTCATACAGAGTACGCCAAACAAATTTTGTCCGAATCAAGAAACGTAATGACTTTCGGACCACAAAATCCGAATCAAAACGAAAGCAAATTTTTTTCCGGTGCATATGTCTACTATAGAAGCAGCAGAGGATTCCTCCATCCACACTCGTAAGCGTTGATGGAGGAATCAGTTACATTTTCTTCATTCAGCCCACAGGTTGGGATGGCAGTTATATGTCCCTTCCAGAGTGTCTGGCTTTGCTTCTCCATCATGGAATCTTGTTTTCGTCTTACTATTACTGCTGCCTTCTCCATCAAGATCAAAAATTCAATTATGGGTAGACAAGCATTTAAACTTGTAGTTCTTGTGAGAGTACACGGTTGAAACCTTTATGCCTTTATTTCTGCATATTCAGCCCCGTTGTAGAGTGCTCTGGGAGCCCTACAACTGCATTCTAATGGGAAAATATCGAACAGCTCTACTGGTCCATTGGGTTAGAGCTGGAGTTCACCCCCCAGAACATCCCTTTTGGCCCTTTTCTGTAATGGGAAACCTACCTGACTGATAGTGAGCTGTGGCAGTTAGGAGTGGGTGGACCCCCAGCTGTTGACCACAAGAGCTGGTCAGTATTTGCGTATTAGAACATTCTAGGTTTCCAAGTGCAGTAACCCATGGTAGCCAGTATAAATGTATCTGTCATTTTTCAGGCTGCTCTAATTGGCTGAAAAGGGAAATCTGATTCATCTGGGACAATGCCCTTTGTACATCACAATTTTCACTGCTCTATTAACCAAGCCTGAGTATCATGTATCAGATATGACTATCATGTTTGTGTTTTATTCTACCCCAAACAAATCATGCTCAGAAGTGTTTCCGCTAAAGTTATTATTTTTTATTAAATGTATTGGAAAGAGCATTCAGAAAAATTTAGCGAGCATGTTGCCATTTCAGCACTGCCTTCTTCTGTCCTCTGGGATGTCATTGTTGAAAATGGCTGTTAATACCACAGTTAGGTTCCTGTAGATAATGGAAATGATTGAATTACCATAGTGCTATGTGATTCAATTCTAACCTCATATTTTCTTATTCCTTGCAATACGTCCTTTGTTAATGACACAAATCGATCATTCAACAGGAAACAGATGGCTGATCTGTAAAGCAGTGCAGCTACATAACTATAAATGTGATGATCTGTTTGCACTGTTTAAAATGTTTCATTCTCTTTTATGTGTTGTGGTGTTGTTGTAGGTATCCTGGATGTCGACCGATGTTATTGTGGAGATATACCCAAATATGCTTGGGTTGATCTAAGGTTTAGATTTGGAAAGGTGTTATTACTTCAAACACATTTTCCTATTTATTTTGAATTGGATATCCAACCCATTTTTTTTGTATAGAGTGAGTAAGGAAATCTATGAAATTTTTTTAGCTGCCTCTGTCCACATTGCGTTTTCTCCTCAAGTCAACTACAAATACAGAGATAAATATAAATCCAGCCTTCTAGCCTTCCCTCACTCAACTTAAAAAAAAGCATTTTATTTCTGTCCATGTTAGTGTTTAAGAGTTTGCCTAACTTTCTGTCTGGTAAACCATTGCTAGCAGGACTCAGTGAGGATAAGCCTCTCTAACAGAGTCAACGATAGTAATTAAAGCCTGACATTGCTTCTCATCCTTTCCCATTCTATTTAATACTAGAAAATGTTTTAGTTGAACATACACTTTAATAACTTGGAAAAATGCCCTCAAATTGCTTTATTCTGTAAAAGAAAATCCCCGTCCCATTGCCTCATTGCTCTAAATAAAATTGCTCCACTGCTCAAAGAAGCTGTAGGACTTCTAGCTAACGGCAGGTGGCACAAGAGAGATATAAAATTGTAGCCCCCCAGCACTAAGTAAAAGCAAGCCATATGGGAGGAGAGGATGGAGGAGTAAAAAACAAGATTTCCAATCAAGCTTACTCTAACAAGCTCTAAGTCTTTCCCACAAAAACGTTTGGGCAATTGAATTAGATAATGTCTTAAATCTTATTTACATTTTGAAGCACCTGTCAAGTATATGACCATCGTTATGGCATTAGTCACAAATACGCATGAAAGACATGCCGGAAACACTCATATCTCACTCATATCACATTACTAGTAGTTCAGGTTATAATTACGATGTGTGGATTCATTCTAACTCCTACTTCAGGCCCTAAATTCTAGTTGATATCACAATATTCAGACAGTATCTGCTCTAGAGGGATTTATTAAAACTGGTGTTTGCATGCTTATGCCAGCAATTAGTAGCCTCACATGGATTCTCATTTCCACTGGAGGTAAGCAAATATACGTGAACAGGTCAAATTTCTAAATTGTTTAGACAATGGCCAAATATTATTTATTATTATTATTATTTATCATTCAGAATGAACCTACCATGTATGTAGGGTAAAGCACAGGTTATCTTTAAAGTTGAAGTTGATTGTGCTTATTTTTTTTCCATTTCTGGTTCCATTTCCTCCCCATCACCATGCTATATTGCATGCATTGTTCTCAGTGGGATTAAGACCCATGTTTGCTAGGCAAGAGTTCCAACCGCATTAAGGCTGCACACACATGGGCAATTACCAAAAGTGTAATTAAAATAGTTTAGTGATCGTTCAATTTCATGTAGATGTTATAATACACCATTAAATGCAATTTTTACAAAGTTTTCTTTCAGAAAATATGCAAACACTGTAGGCCAAGGGCTGTGTGACCTATTTCCTGTTAATACTTTGTGAAAATTGCATTTATTGGTGTATAATCTGTAATTATGCTGACACTGTCCTTCCTTCTGGAGGGGGCTACTTTTGTTCCCCATGGTCCCTGTGTGTGTTGCAAAGTATTCATCACAGCTGAGTGATACACAAATAAGATACATTTTTGTTAATAGTTAAGGTACTTGAATGCATTTTAAAGTTTTAACTCCTGAGTTTAGTGTCTTGAAAATGAAAGGTAGAAGCTGATTATTTACTATGGGCAACTGTTCCAGATTCTGTCTGCTCCACTTTTGATAAATTCCCCTCAATATGTTTGCTGTGGGGCATAAAGATAAATGGTTCAATATTTGAGTTGGTGATTGGTTAACAAACCTGAATAATTTATACGTTCAAACTTCCATCTCACAGGCTTTCGAAGATATCTACATAGAACAAAGGAAAACCATCAAAACCATGCTGGAATATGCTGATAAAGTCTTCACGTACATCTTTATCCTTGAAATGCTTCTGAAATGGGTGGCGTATGGATTTGTAAAATATTTCACCAACGCCTGGTGCTGGCTGGACTTCCTGATTGTTGATGTAGGTATTTTATACCTTTTTATGCATTCATGTAAAGACAATAACATAGTATTAGAATACCTTGCGTCTGTGCAAGAACAAAATATGCATTCATGTATTAACGAATATGCACAGGTGTAAATACAGCCTAAGTCATCACATTCACATTGAATATGTTTGCTCAAATACTTTAAAAAGTTGATCATCAAGAATCCCATATGGTAAATGGGCCTTGCTTTTTTAGGTTCACTTTAAGCAAATATTTATTAGGTTTCAGCAGGCTTTTAACAAGCTCTGGGAGACTGTTGGGCTGACCACTCCAGATGCTAATTAAATGCTTATTAAATGATTGTTGGAGCCTACTAAATGATTGCTGAATGTGATGCTCTTCAGATTCACATTTAGAAGCTAAGATTAAAGAATGTCCATATTTAGTAAGGCAAACAATATCTTAGTTATGGATGGAAGCTAACGAGCAGAATCATCCACTTGCTTCTTATGTTGAATCTTGGTTGAATCTCTTAAGCCATGTATACACGGTACAAATTTCAGACAGTTTCTGGTGAACCCCTCTCGGCTGAATGGAGTTTGCAGCCAATAAGCTGCAGGCTCCATTTGGGTATTCTCTCACGGGTAGGGCTCTCCTTACCATCTTGTCTTGAATTGTATTGTGATTGT